CACATTTAAACAGCTAATACAACGGTGAATGACCAAACAAATCAGCACTTTTCACATAGCAAACATACACAATAAAATAAACTTGGTAGGGGAAAAAAAGCAATGTACAAATTCCAAAGATAAATACATTATTTATATGGATATTTTACAAAATCCCCCTTAAACCAAGCAAACAAAAAACAGAAACAAAAAGCTTTTTTTTTCTTTAATTAATTTTGCAAGTATGTGCAAGCTAAAGGTAGTGAGCTCTTTTTGCAAAATATGCAGTAAAATTCTTTTTTTTCTTTTTGTGATATTGAAAAACCGTCTTAAGACATTAAAATGTATAAATAGAACAACAACTTTGGCAAAAAATCACAAAAAATCTACAGTATTTATAACTACATACAAAACACAACAGCAAAGAAAAAATATCAGGTAATGCATCTTCAGAGCTTTGCTGCCTCTTTTGACTAATAGTTTTTAAGAACACTTCCCAGATAATGATAGCAAAATGTTTGTAAAACAGAAGCTATGGTTTTGATTTGAAACCTTCCTAACAGCCCCCCCACCCCCCACCCCCACCTCCTGTTTCCATGTACTATTCAAAAGCAGTTACCTGGTGCTTCATATGATACAAACTGGGAGGGTCGGCTGATCCAGGAGCAATCCTAGTGGGAGGCTGGGGCCAGCATGTGCTTGCAGACTGTGAGGATGCAGAACTGCAGAGGGGTCTGTTCTCATTCTGCCCCATAAAAAACACTACATGAGGGGTGAGGGGGGCTATGTGGGAAACACCCCCAGCCTGGTGGCCACAGCCTGTGCCACTGGAGGGCTGTGCAGAACCCAAATGGTGCTTCATGCACAGCTCAGGTGACACTAAACTTCAAGAAGGCCACTCATTTGGAAAGAGTTTGCTATCCAAGCTAAGGAGAGAGCCATGCTAATGGAATTCTGCTGTTTTATCATATCTAGAGGCACTGGGTGTTCAAGAGGAAATGTGTTATATGCATCCTTACCTTTACTTTCATCTACTTTCCTCGTATTATTTACACTATTATTTAGCCTGATATTAAAGACAGAGGGTACTAATCCCACCCTTGCCATCCAAAAATACCAGCTTGCTAGGGAGTGATATCTATTTAATTAGAACATTAAAAATGCATCATATTAGTCACCACTGGATAAGCAACCTGTATGAGCCGACCCTTCATTAAATGGCCATTATTCTTCTACGAAAAACTAACTGGCACTTCTATTCTGTCCCACACAGACCTGTATGTGAATGACACCACTTCATTTTTTCTTTACAGAGCTTTAAAAAAAAAATCATAAATTAAAAATGTGGAGTTCCATCTCTAGTGTCCCTTATGTAATTGTATGATTTATAAAAGACAAATGGTGTTGCATTAAATCAAGCCTTAAAAAGCAAACACAAAAAAA